ACTTTTTTGAAATTAATTTTTTTGTTTATTTTTGTTATATCTTCTTAAAAACTGACGCCATCTCACTATTTTTTATTATTTGTTTTTTTTTGTAACGCATAAGGATAAGTTAGACTAAGTTAGATTAACTTGGATAAGTTTATAATTTTTTTAAATTTATCACAAAATTTCCACAATAAATTATTACCTTTTCTACAGTGATTCTCTCCTCTTAGATTCGGCGTGACTGTAGGATGTTATACTGAGTAACCGTCAGTTACTAAGCAGCCATAAATCATTATGTGTATGTATAGACATACATATATACATTTTTTGATTTTAATATTTATGTTTTTTTGAATATTGATTGATTTTTTGAAACCTGGTAGAATTATTTTTTTCCATACCAATCGATGGGCCTGAGTATAATGCCAGTTATGTTCTTTGGCTGAAGATATTTTTTATTTTATGCTCAATTGCAGACAAAACAATATTGATTGCGCATTTCTAAAACAAAGTTTTACCAAGAGGTAACTCCTTCTAATAATAGCTCCTTCACCTAACACGGCGGAATAGTTATTATTATCTATAAGACCATTTGCAGAAACAGTTTTTGTTAACATTTATGAGTGTAACATTTTTATCAGCTGATTTGTTAATATTACCTTGAGCAACACTTTGCTGGTTTCTGTACAGAAAATGATGCTGGCTTTGCAAATATGGATGGCCGCTACCATTGAATATAATACCCGCAATGTTACACTTATTTACATAGAAACTTTAATTATCATTTGCATAAAATTCTAAATAGCACTTTTTACACATAAAAGTAAACTTTTAAATTAGTCCATCTTTTCACTAATTAAGTGAAAAGTAAAACAAACCAATAGGTCCATGATTTAAAATTTCTTGCAACTTTTTATAGAAAAGCATGACCTTATCATTACATAATAGTCAATCATTTAGCCATGTGATAAAACTTTTAAGTGTGCCAGTCAAATATTAATGATGATATTCGGGTCATAATTCTGAAAATAGTCTATTAAATATTTTGTAGTACAATTGATAATCTTCAGTATAATTGACCGTGTATATGACTTTTATAAGTCTATGTTATTTTCGATGAAAATTATTATTGCAGATAAAATCCCTTTCACATTTATTTTAGTCTCGAATTAAAGTAATCAAAATGACAATAAGAACTTTCATTCTTTATAAGTGATCTTTAAATGTAAAACACTGACTTGAAATTATATAATTATCGGCATTTTTTAATTCATTGAACTTTTTTAAGATTGTGTTGAAACTCTACTGGTAACAAAAAAAAACAAATATACATAGCTCTTGATGAAAATAAAGTATGCGCGTTACATCGTATCCCATCAAGAATTTCTAATGTAATTCTACGTATAAAGCTAAGACGAGATAATAACTGTAAACAATAGAATAACAAAATAATGATAACATTTGTAAATACTTGCTTTATAACCTAATAAATATTATTTGACCGTAATAAAATAATAAAACAAGGTAGTCTTCGGCATGAAAGTAAAAATAAATATTTTAGATTATTTTTGCAATATCTAACAGCCGGATCAGCTCGCGATTCTGATCCATCTAAAGATGCTAAATTTCAGCAAGCACTGTCAAACTCAATAGAAGTGACAGAAAAACAGTTCTTGATATAGAAAGGTAAATAAATTATTTAACCTATAAAGTAAAATCACTTTATTACAAATCAAAATAGCCCAATAGCTTTATTAACATGAGACATAATTGTACGAGTGCTTACAATACTTAACATTATTTTGCTAAAATCTCAGAAAGTTTCTTTTAATAGAATAAGGGTGACAAACGAGCACACAGTCCACATGATGGTACACTTACCATTTAGATGTGTATGAGCCGTAGCAACCACTTTGCTATGGCCCATACACATCTACATCTATTCTCGATTACGTATCAAAATGTAGATGCGTTGTCACCCGTGAGGACTAAGATGTAATGCCTCGTTTCCAGTAAAAAGGTTCTCCGGTTCTCTACACTCACCATACGAAACACAACAGGGTTAAACTGCTATTTTACATGTTATTCCGTGAGAGCGTGGCCCTTCCCCGGTCAAGCCGACCCATTCGTGCTACAACTATACCAACTACTAATATAGCTGCAGCATGGCTCTACCACGTAAGAAAAAATTGACGTTGAAAATTTAAGTATTTTTAGAAGCAACTTTGCAATTATTTTCTATTGAGTTAATTTTTGTGGAATCGTGTTTTGCAAACCGCCACCTGAAATACGTACAATTTTTTTCGATAATGACGTGAAACTACAAAACGATCCCCATGCATATCAATGTGGCTCTATTCAGCCTCTTAATATGAACATACCTCGGAGATTTAGATATAGAGATTTTCATAGTTTTCATGCATAGATAATGGAAGACATAATATTATATTATTACTGTCCCGTGTGAGGCAACCTTTATACTTATATACATATTCTCATCATATTTTTATGGTTGGTTAGAAAAATTATATCAGCAAACTTTCACAGGGTAAATTCTTTTTTACGATTTTTTCCCAGCAAGTAGTAAAGCAACTACAATCCCATCGATAAGTGGTTATGTAGTCTAAGATGGTGAATTGCACTGACTTAACAAAAACCTATTAACTCTTGCCTAATAGTACTAGGTAAGTATTATTTGCGACCTATTTGTGTGTGTGCATGCGTGCGTGTGTGTGTGCGCGCGCGCGCGCGTTTGTGTGTGTGTGTGTGTGTGTGTGTGTGTTTGTGTGATTGTGTGTGTGTGTGTGTGTGTGTGTGTGTGTGTGTGTATGTGTGTGTGTGTGTGTGTGTGTGTGTGTGTGTGTGTGTGTGTGAAGAAAAGCGTATGAGAATACGTGAAAAGGAATAAAGGTTGAGTACTAATTCGCTTACCTGTACGAGGTTGCCACTCGAGGACCTTTCTTCCTATTTTTTATCTGTTTTCCAAGTTATATAACCAGCCCATTGCCATTTCACTGTAATATTCCGTTGGGCTATGTCAGTTACTCTGGTTCTAATGCAAATATCTTCATTTCTAACTTTATCACGTAGAGAAACCCCTCTCCAAATTAAAATTTTTACATTTTTTAGATGATAGTTTGTCTAACATATAAAAAACCATAAACCCAAGAATGTCTTTATATAGTTATTTATACTTAGGTAAGCGCCATTCTTTTATTTATTTAAATTGTTTGATTTAATTTGATAACAGTGTACCTAAATGTAAGTATCTGTATCTTTATTTCCCTCCCCAATAATATTTTATAAAGCCATACTCATAAAAACAGCGTTTTATTGTAATACATAATTATAAAATTCAGTATCAACTAATTAATAAAAATATGCAACAATAAAATTACATAGGTATTAAAAACTATCAAAATCTAAGTAACGAGACCATGTTCGTCGTTCCACTTCTAAATTATATAAAAATGCATTTTTCAATTTGACTAATCAACGTCGCTTCGAAAATTTCTTCTTCTTTGGGCACTTTAAAAATTCATTTATTTAGAAAATAATATTTACAGTTACCAGTGTACAGATATTAACTAAATTAAGTATTTCTGGTCATAAAAATATTTATAATTGAGTATAAACTTTTAAAAAACTAATATATATTTGAACGAAGTCGCTCCAACACCGACGTGCGGTCCACCCTCGACGATGTCCGAAAACGGACTGTGACAGAGCTTACATGGCGACGGAGCATGCGCGCTCGCGTAAATATATTCAATTTCAGGGAAAAATGATATATTCTCTTATAAAACGGGAAATAAAAATAAAACTCTCAATTAAAAAAATTAATATTTTTAAAACCTTTTTTTTAGTGTAAGAACTATTTAAAAAGCTTGTGCCGTTTTGGAGAAATATTGCAAAATATGACAAAGATAGGTACTCTTTGGGGATTTTTTTTCTAATAAGGGGAAAGTGAGTGAGTGGGGGGTCTTTCAAAAATACAATTATGTTAAATTAAAAACATTTACCAAATCCTCTTCTGTTACCCTATATTTTTTCTTTGTGAATTAAATGAACAGTTATTGAGATTTTTTTACTTAAATATCCACGATTTAGGCATTTCAACGACTGTTAAGGCCTTAAAATTGACATTATATAATTATTGACATAAGAATACTAATATTTGATATTGAACTATAATAATAATCTTACTTGAGCTATAAGCTATATAAGTAAGTGTTGTTAACACTTATATATCTTATAGGCATTTTCTGACACTGTTACGTAATTAATTAATTATCAAGTGAATAATATTAACTAATTTATATGTTGTTACAATTTGATAAGTATTGTTGTATAGGTTATTTGGATTTATTGGTTAATATTTGCGCACTACGAGATAGAACATGTAGAACGAATTATACTCAAACACCATTGCAAAACCATATTCTTGCAAATAAAGTCCTATGTTCAGCTGTTTAATATCATAGGCCATTTCTCATAAGATTTTCTTAAGTATGCTACGTCTTTTAAATAATATAGACCAGTACCGCATTTCTTTCAGCTATGAGTGAAAGGCCATTCAAAATAAAATGTAATTTAATTTATTATATGTAATTATTAACTGTGCAATGGCGGTATGAGAATATCCAGTATCTTACATCGTTCCTTCGGTGCCGTATAAGGTGACAGAGGGAAACTGAAACATGAGATGGGCAGCAGCACCCTCCTGATAACAATTCAACATAACAAAAAACTGCGGTTGACAGTCAGCCAATCTATGGAGACAGCCTATGTTCAGCAGTGGACTTTTTAGGCTGCAATGAATGAAATGGATATGTACTGTATACGTACCTCATTACAATCACTTCACAATTACTGTATGATGAATGATGTGTATGAGTGGCGTTTTTCAGTTCTTTATTTGACTTTAAGGGTTTCATATGTAATTTACACGGAAAAAATATCTACGTAATTCTTTCTATAACATTGACTTTGTAATTGTTTCGTTCATACAGAAAATGGTCGGCAATTATGCGGGGCTGCCGCTAATGGACTGGTCGCAGTACGATACGTTCCATGGGGACTTCGAGAAGTGCTCGCTATTCATAGTCGTGTTTGGGCACCTCGGCTTCTACTTGCTCATGTTCTTCGGCTTCATCAACGAGCTACTGTTCACACCCAAAGTCGCCACCGAGCGAAACCGAGAGGTGCGCACGTTGCGCTTTTTTCTATATCACCTTACAACTAAGGTAAAACGGGGCATAGTTATTGCCTTTCTGGATTCTTAGCCAGTTAACGAGCGTGGTAAAGCTATTTTGGTAGGTGTAAACTTGCTTTATGATAAATATATATATATATATATTATACAGTGTACATGTTAATTTGCAACGCCAGCATGCTAATTTACAAATTACAGTTTTAAAAAGAAGTAATAATACAACGTACATATCAAAATGATCAAACAAATTAAAGAATACATGTCGAATAGATCACTTAAATTAAAAATTAAAAAATACATGCCGGATAGATTAGATGTCAAATAAATTACATTTCAAATAGATTAAGCAAAATGTCATTGTCAAATTAACTACCTAAGATTAAATTAATATATTATATACATGTCTAAATTGGATGTCAAATATAGGAGGGCTTTGTTACATTTACCCAAAGCTTTTTACGCAGCACCATACGAAACACAGCAGCTTAATGCTGCTGTGTTTCGTATGGTGAGTGTAGAGAACCGGAGACCCATTTTACTGGAAAAGAGGCATTCTATCTTAGTCCTCAAGGCTGACAACGCATCTGCATTTTAATTCAGAAACGAGGATAGATGCAGATGTCTATGGGCCACAGCAACCACTTACCATCAGGTGGACTGTGTGCTCGTTTGTCACCCTAATTCTATAAAAAAGAAAGCTATCAGCAAATAAGTCATTCTGGTAATCATGTGCGAGCATATCTCCAATAAGCGTGAGTAGTGGGCGTGTAAGCGTCGCATCTGCTGTGCGCCGGCAGCCGCCATAGAAGGCGCGGCCGCCGCCGCGGTGCCACCATCCTCTCCACATCACAGCCTAGCCGCTTCGGTGCCATTAACCCCACTCTACTTAATACCGTCCGGCTATCTTTTCTATTATGGATGATTGCGAGTGTCCAAACCCTCCATACCAGTAGCAAATAAGGACGGATATAGATAGGGGTAGTAACCGTATTTCTGTTTATATAGCTATCGTGCGAATTTGCGCTGTATTCTCTCTATCATTAAAATATATTTTTCCTCATAGGGATTCCATAACATAGCCCCGTCCCCGTATTCAAGCGTATTACGATCATATGCATTGTAAATTACCAAAGCTACCCCAAATCTGTCGAACTGTGAAGAAGTGTGAATAACGAAGCCAATCATTTTGCTGGCCTTTTTATATACACTAGTCACATGGTTATGAAAGTCAAATTTAGCGCCTAATAATAATCATGAGTCACGAATTTCGCTTACCCTTTCTAAGGGCCTGTCAGATAAATTATAATCTTCACAGTGGACACTAGTGGACAGCGTTTACGCGTAAATTCTATATATATTTTTTATTATTAAATGAAAGTCGATATAATACAATCCAATCCGTAACCGCATCGATGTGTCTACACCTAGGTTTAATTTGAGATCTTCCGCGAACAACAGACAATTTAGGCAATCACGCTATTCGGTAAGTCATTAAAGAAAATAAGAAAAATTAATGGCCCCATCGTATTTCCCTGACTTACCCCAGATCTTGTGTAGTAGCCACTAGACTCAAATACACTCACTCTAACAAACTGACGCCGATCGCGTAGGTAATTTGAAAAAAAAATATTCGACAAGTTCCGGGGCAAAGCATATAACCGCCAATTTACGTAACAAGATATTGTAGTCGACTAGGTCAAATGCTTTTTTAAAATCGAAGTACGCAGAATGCATTTACCTACCAGCACCCAACACAGCATATATATAGTCAAGATGAGCCACAAGATTAGTAGTGGTTCAACGGGCAGTTCGAAAATCGTGTTGACTATCATGCAATAAATTCTGAATTTGCTTTTTAATTTGCTCGCATAAGACAATTTCAAATAATTTTGCAAAGACTGATAAGAATGCAATCGGTCTAAAAGATGAAACGTCACCAGTTTCACCAGCAATCTTAGAAACCAGAGTGACCCTAGAAACTTTCCGAATTTCTGGATACTTAGAATGAGTCGGTAAGAAGTTAAAGTGGTACAGGAGAAAAGCGGATATGATACCAACAGGGCCACCCAGCGATCTCGGTTTTAGCCGCCTTACTGCTTCCTGCTTGGTATCGTCAACAGTATTTATGATGATACAGGTTATATTGACTATTTGTGGCACGTACCGCATAAACATGGTCCAGTACAGGCACCTCATCCTGATACACCGAACGGTTTTCACCGCATTTGCTTATGCTTTTTGTATGTCTTCTGGCAAGAAATTCCAGAATAGAGTAGCCAAAATAATAAGTGATTTCCTGGATATTGCAGTAAAATGAGTTAGAACACAAAGGAGAATGGAATTTTTGGGCCTGAAGTTAACTATTTGGTTTATGCTTTCAAAAATTGACCATATTTTTCTTAAGTAAAATAAAAAAGTATCTCTTTTTATAACCTATATATAGAAAAAACAATAAAATAAGCAATAAGTTATAAAATCGATTGTAGTGTATGATTTATGGCAAGAAATACATACACAATACACTAGTGAAATTGTCGTTCTTGAACGTTATCTTCCAATAGAGAATTTTTCATTTTGAGACTTGACAGTTCAAACTTAAAAATTAACTACTTAAAAAAAAAGACAGATTTTTGATTCGATTTGAAACGAGTGCAATATAATCGATTCTCGAATAAATTGAGCATTTTAATATCTATTTTCGATTATTTTTCTGTGTTAACTAGAGAGATAAAAAATTGCATATATATCTACTAAATAATAAAAAAAAAATACAAAATATCAAAATTCTAACAAGTAATAGTTAAAACATCAATTCAAGTAATCGATTTCAGATCGATACTCCTAATATTCACTTCACTTAGTTGTTGTTGCTTTAACTTTCGTTAATCGTTTCACCATTCCGTTTCATTATTAACCAGAGCTTTTTTGGTGATTCTATACTGATTCTGCTTTTATATCTTTAAGTAATTATATTGGAAAATAACCTGTTACAGTGTAATAACAGTGAAAATCACCTGTTACAGTGTAGGTAATAGATAATATCACTTTTACTTATTCTACAATAACTCAGCTCCTAGATTGACAAATCTTGCCAGATTTTCAGGTATGAATTGTTTATATATAAGCTTTTAAGTGGTCCTACTTTCATCTTGTTAACACTTGGGCCCAAGAATGTATAGAGGCGTCTCCTTCTCCTTTTATGATTAGACAAGGACCGAAGAACTATCATGAGTTGAAAATTAAGTAAATTAATATTACCTTAAGATATGCAAGAGAAGCTGGTTTGCTTAATATAGAAAAAAGAACAAACAAAATTTTAGAATTACGCCTCTGTTTGATTGTAAGCCATCTAAAGTGAAACTATAAAGATAAACATGATTATACTTTCAAATCCCGTATATTTGGCAGGGATATGATAAAACAGAGATTTAGTCAATTCCCTAAGTGATTTGATCAAATTACGGAGGATGGTAAGATAACAACAGGATTTTATCATTTCCCTAAACAAATCTAGCGATTTAAAGATATATTTCTTGTGGTTATAATGGATATATTAATCCCTACAACAATTTTAATATGAGCTTAAAATTTATAATCATGAAATAATTTAGTATTATAAAATTTCCAATATTTATTTTTAACTATAACTTTCTATTTTCCATTATAGTTAAATATTTCTTATACAGCCTTTATTTCATTATTTTATAAAGCTAATTTAAGTTGCCACAAAATAAAATTTCCAAAATATATATTTTTAATACAAAACACACACACACACACACACACACACACACACACACACACACACACAGAGGAGTATAATTTGAGTATAATTGAATACAAATGTGAATAATTAAGGACTACAGCATCCTCTTACACACAAATAAAACAAAATTACCAAAAGCGTAGCCAGTGAAGGAAGAGAACTTTGTCTACAAAAAGCTCATTTAGAGCCTTGTAGAACCATCCGAACTGGCAACGTACAACGCACGCACCCTGAGGACTGACGAGAAGAATGTGGAGCTGGAAGAAGAGATAGACAAGTTGTGCTGGCATATTATAGGATTATCCGAAGTCCGAAGAGAGGGGGAGGACACGGTAATCCTCGAATCCGGCAACTTGCTCTATCACCGGGAGGGCGACCATCTGTCCCAAGGAGGTGTCGGATTTATCGTCCACAAGTCTCTCGTTAACAACGTTGTAAAGATCGGGAGTGTGTCGACGAGGGTTGCGTACCTTATACTCAGAATCACCAAACGGTATTCGCTGAAGGTCATACAGGTTTACGCACCAACCTCGGCTCACCCCGATGAGGAGGTGGAGGAAATGTATGAGGATATCTCTAGAGCCATGCATTCCTCCAAAACCCAATATACGGTGTTAATGGGAGACTTCAACGCAAAACTAGGCACAAGAGAGAACGGTGAGCTGAAAGTAGGGAAATTTGGAATAGGGCAACGGAACCCAAGGGGCCAGCAGCTGGCCGACTTCATGGAGAAAGAGGGACTCTTTATGATGAACTCTTTCTTCCAGAAGCGGCCCCACAGGAAGTGGACCTGGTCGAGCCCCGATGGTTCGACAAAAATGAGATTGACTTCATTATGACGACCAGACGACAACTGTTCAGTGATGTCTCCGTGATCGCGAGGGTGAAAACTGGTAGCGATCACCGAATGGTTAGAGGCACACTGAACCTAAACGTTAAGCTGGAAAGGTCTCGTCTAATGAAGTCAACGCTCCGTCCCCCTCGTGCTCTAATCCAAAGTCCCGAAACCTTTCAGCTCGAGTTACAAAACCGTTTTCAGTGCCTAGAAGACTGCAATGAAGTGGACAATTTGAATGACAAGCTCGTGGAAACTGTCCATGCGGTCGGAGTTAAGTTCTGCAAGACCCACCGCAGAAGAACACAAAAACTCTCCGATTACACTCATAATCTCATGGCTGTTAGATGGGAGATGAAGCTACATTCTTCAACAGACTTGACAGCATACAGGCATCTGAACAGACAGATCTCCAAATGCATGCGGCGGGACTTACGCAACTTCAATACAGCTCGTATTGAAGAAGCGATCGAGCGGAACCAAGGCTCCAAAGTCTTGCCAGACATCTGTCTACCAGAAAGAGCCAACTGTCAAAGCTGAAGACAGAATGTGGCAGCATCAATTCCGGGACACCTGAGATTTTGAGTGAGACTGAGAGGTTCTATGGGCAGTTGTACACGTCATCTTTGGAGCCACACGCAAGTGTGAGTAACGATCCAAGAGCGAGTCTCATCCGACACTATTCCGAAGATATCCCGGACGTCAGTCTGAGCGAGATTAGAATGGCTCTCCAGCACCTTAAAAACGGTAAGGCCCCAGGCGAGGATGGAATTACAGCGGAGCTTCTGAAAGCGGGTGGAAGACCGGTACTTGAAGTCCTTCAGAAGCTCTTTAATTCCGTCCTCCATGGTGGCATTACACCGGAGGCGTGGAGCAGAAGTGCGGTGGTCTTGTTCTTCAAGAAAGGTGACAACGCTGTCTTGTAGAACTACAGACCGATTTCCCTTCTGAGCCACGTCTACGTGCTGTTTTCGAGAGTCATTACGAATCGTCTCGCGCGCAGACTTGACGACTTCCAGCCTCCCGAACAAGCCGGTTTCCGAAAGGGCTTTAGCACCATAGACCACATACATACCCTTCGGCAAATTGTACAGAAGTCCGAAGAGTACAATTTGCCACTATGTCTGGCGTATGTGGACTATGAGAAAGCCTTTGATTCCGTCGAAATTTGGGCGGTGCTGCAGTCCCTTCAGCGGTGCCAAGTTGACTGTCGGTATATCGAAGTGTTGAAGTGCTTGTACAGTAGGGCTACGATGGCTATCCGAGTACAGAACCAGAGTACGAAACCTATCCAATTGCAGAGAGGTGTAAGACAGGGTAACCTCATATCCCCGAAACTCTTCACCGTTGCATTGGAAGACGTTTTCAAGCTTCTGGATTGGAAAGGATACGGTATCAACATCAATGGCGAGTACATCACTCACCTTCGATTTGCCGATATAGTCCTTATGGCAGAATCGCTGGAGGACCTAAGCACTATGCTCAATGACCTCAATAGTGTTTCCCAACGGATAGGTCTTAAGATGAACATGGACAAAACAAAGATCATGTTTAATGTCCATGTCACACCTATGCCGGTAGTTGTTGGGAACACTAAGCTCGAAGTTGTTGACGAGTATGTTTACCTAAGACAAATAGTCCGACTAGGTAAGTCCAACTTCGACCGACAGGTGGTGGACGTGGTCCTTCACTGCTGGTCGGATGAGAAAGCTCAAGGTCGCTCAGCGAGCTATGGAGAGGGCTATGCATGGAGTTTCTCTGCGTGATAAACTGAGGAATGAGGATATCCGCAGTAGAACCAGAGTAACCGACATAGCCCAACGGATTAGTAAGCTGAAGTGGCAGTGGGCCGGCCATATAGCTCGAAGAACCGACAACCGATGGGGAAGAACGGTTCTCGAGTGGCGGCCTCGTACCGGTAGGCGAAGTGTAGGGCGTCCCCCCACGAGATGGAGTGACAACCTGGTAAGACATGCAGGAAGTCGATGGATGCAGGTGGCTCAGGACCGTGCTTTGTGGCATTCTTTGGGGGAGGCCTATGTTCAGCAGTGGACTTGTGAAGGGCTGTAATGATGAAATGATGATGAGAACCATCCGAAGAACTCCTCTTTCCATACGATGTGACGGTCAGAAATGCTCTGTACTACCGGGTAACTTGCCTTTTTTTTTCTGTATACACATATATATATGTGTATACGTGAAAATTTCGGGTATCCAGGAAGTGACACAACATTACTTTTTAAAAATGTATTTATTGCTTTTCGAAGTATTCTCCGCTTCGGAAGTTGGGGTCTCGAAAATGGCCGTTTTGTAGGCGTCCACAGCTTCTTCAGGTGATGAAAATCTCTGTCCTCGCACTTTATTCTTTATTTTATGGAAAGTATAAAAAACATTAGGGCTTAGGTCGGGGAGTTACGGCAGATGGTCTAATAATTCTATGTTTTCTTGCTCTAAAAACTCTTTTGTTCTATGCGGTGTGAGAACTCGCATTGTCGTGATGGAGGATGATGCGGCGGTTGCAGTTCTCTTTACGGAGTTCAGAAATGACCTGTGGCAAACAAATGCTAGCATACCATTCTGCATTAACCGTTCTTTGTCCCTCAAGAGGAATAGTCGTAACATGGCCGGTTTTAGAGACAAACGTGGCCACCATTTTTTTGCAACACTCCGTGAACGAATAATTTTTGTTGGCTTTAAATCATTTTCGAACACCCAAACTCGTGATTGGTTTTTTGTTTCGGGTTCGTACGCGTATATACAGGATTCGTCACCTGATACGATGTTGTATACAGCATTTGAGGATCCTGCGTGGAATCTTTCGAGAGTTCTGACGCACCAAGTAACGCGAGCCGCTTTTTGCTCTCCACAGAGCGAATGCGGTATCCATCGGGAAAACAACTTTTTTACACCTAATTGTTCATGCAAGATTATTTTATTTGACTCATGCCAATGTCTAAAGTTGCCTGAATTTTGCGGTATGTCACATGTCGATCGTTCTCAATCAGCTTATGTACAGCATCAACGTTTTCTTGGGTGACTGCAGTTTTTGGACGACCTTGACGGGGATCATCACTGAGCTTGACACGTTCACGTTGAAATTCAGCAAACCAGCGATAAATTGTGGTTTTGGATGGGGCTTCATTGCCAAATGCAGAAATCATCCGATCAACACACTGTTTTTGTGTTAAACCACTTCGAAAGTCATAATAAATCATCGCTCTTGAATTTTCTCGAGTCACTTCCATTTTCTCAACGACTAAACAATTTTGACAAAACCATGTGACAAGACCGAGAATCTTTTTTTAAATAAATAAATGGTAAAAGCTTTTAGAAAAATTTACTTCGCAAATATTCACGTTATAAAATAATAATCGTCAGTGGTGTGTCTTGCCTAGTGTAGTGGTGTTGGGAGTAGCGGTGCTGGGATTAGTGGTGACGGGGATAGTGCACGCAATTGAGGGAGGGCGGGAGGTGCTCTTCATGCTAGGTAAGACACATCATTTTATTTTATAACGCGGATATTTGCGAAGTAAATTTTTCTAAAATCTTTTATGTAATGGATTTCCGCAAAGTAACGCCTGATAAGTGAACGTTGGCTGCACAGACACAGGTCTAAATTTAGTGGGTTTTAATGTACTACCAAATTTCAATAAAGGTGTTACTTTACTAAACATACCAGATTCAAACACACTAATATCGACTAGTATTAAAAATAATAACAAGTTGAGGTGCAATTACATCTATTATAGAGGCAATAACCCCATAGATCTTTTTGTTCCTCATATCAATAGTTTTAAAATATTTTGTTGTACCTCCTGATAATATTTCGTTAATATACAAATTCAATTTTACAGACATTTACATTTAGAAAGCAGTGGAGTAATTTTGTGACTTCGTGATCAATATCACAATGTCGGTAAAATATTGTTCAAATTAATTAATAGTTTGAGTTGTGTAGTTTCATCTTGTCAGTTTCGCCATTGATTATACTCCAAGTCATTTTAATTTTATCACAGGAATTCTTAATTAACCTGTACCGTTCCAGGGTTACGCGCCACTTTACAACTCATTCGAGCAATTATTCTTGCGCTACGTGTACCGGCGTGTGCGGCACTGCTTCAACCGGCCCATTTGCTCCACGCCTGCAGCCGAAGTCACTGTCAAGGAGCGCTACACTGATGACTACAATTGGACATTTAAGTACGTATATGTTTTGATTAGAAGTACTTCTATTTGTACAACTAGACGGGCACTATGGTCCTAATACATTGCGTACTAAAGTACGGTTAATTCTCCTACTCTCTCTCTTTTAGTCGACTTCCAAAAGGCGAAAATATTTTTTTCTTTTATAAACCACGAAAGTTGTTGTTTTCGACAATATAATTACTATTTTGTTTAATGTGACTAAAGAAACGCTGTCAATATTTATGTGCGCCCGTTGTCAACGTGATTTGAGACAAACGCCGATATTTTAGATAAGTATGTAACTATATTTCGTATTTGCATAAAAATAGTAACTGTCGTAATGAAAAAAAAACAACTGTGTGGCATATATCGTATCTGCCCACGCCCGAGTGTATCACAGCTGTGGCACATTTTTGTTATGAACTACCGGTCTAGTAGTGTACATAGAAGTATTTGCGCGGGACATTTGATTGTAAATATTTACAATGAACGGCATAACAGGTTTACGGGCACAGAGCGGCGCTGCATCAACCTGGGCTCGTACAACTACCTGGGCTTCGCGGAGCCGGCGGGTCCATGCGCGGATGCTGCAGCCGAGGCGGCGCGACGCTATGGACTCGCGCTGGCGTCTTCGAGGGCAGAACTTGGCTCCTGCGCTCTGCACAAGGAACTGGAGGAAACTACCGCACGTTTCCTTGGCGTCGAGGTAACATTCACTTACGTATCATTACTACCAAGGCTTTCATTTATCTAATATTTTTTAAACGTTTCCTTCACACTAGGATTTTCTCCTGTATCTTGGGGGCAGTTTACATACATAAGTTTCACAAAGACAAAAAATTATTTATAGGCCAAACAAATACTTGTTCCGTGCGGGATTCGAAACCGCGCTCTTAGCGCTGCAACTAATTGCTAAGGCACTGCGCCACGGAGCCATCTTTAAACTGAAATAGAAAGAATGTTGTGAGATTTGAATAAAAAAAATAAATGTTGTTGAGAGAAAACATATACCTAACTTTATGTGTTATATATATTGTTATATTATACCTACATTATATAACACTTATTTTGCATACAGCTGCAGCGTTGATCGATCACGCATAACAACATACTCTTGTTCAGATAATAAGATCAAACACTTCAATAATTCCTTTTATGGAGTCACATACGCTTTTCAAAGTATGCTCCAGTTGACGTGCATAACGATCTCAAAGTATAAATATTTGTCCACTCTCTCTATGCGAAATTAGATAAAGAGTTTTAAGTGTAGTTTTTACCATCAGTCGATCATCAGAGATTCATGTAGTGGCTGTGCTAAAGTATCTTTTATTCTAACACGTTCTTTTGATGTAGAGTCTACAACTAAGACTACGGGGAATGGCAGAGGAAACTTTTGAGTGATTTTCACATCACATTTAATTAGAGCTTCACTTGCAGAGGTATTTCGAGAATAGGGTCACTAACACTATCACTATCAGTCTATTACAAGTTCACTGCTAAACATAAACCTCCCCTATAGATCGCCACAAAGGCCCAGAATTTACTTACGTATTTTAAAGAAAAGGGTATTTCGCTTTTAATTTCTTACACTTATTTTTACTTTGTAACGTTAATTATATTTTGTATATGGTAGACCCATGCTGCAGTTATATTATGGTACTAGCAAAATAAATCTGTAAGGACGTTTTAAGAACACGTTCTTATAGAATACCAGCGTAAAATATCAGCTTAATGCTGGTGTGCTTCTTATTGTGAGTGTAGAGAGCTGAAAATCCCGTTTTACTAGAAACGTGGCATTTTCATCTTAGTTTTTACAGGTGACAGCGCAAATTGATTCTTAATCGGGGATAAATGTAGATGTCTATGGGTCACAGAATTCAATTAACATCAGGTGTACTGTGTGCTCGTTTGTCACCCTTATTCTTTAAATAATGCTCAGACTCGCATTTAACCGAACTCGTCTATCGTGTTTGTGTGTATTTTGAAAGGAGCTGTATGAGTAGAACAGAATAGAATAGAAAATTATGTTTTTTATTTAATATAGATTATAAAAAATACTTATTGAAATTCATTTTGTAGCGAAATTTCTAATATCAACCTAGTGGATAAATTTAGTACAGTATTTAAAAAAAAACGTTTTTTTTTTCGTAAGACTTATTTAACCTTCAAACATAAAATTTTAATAAGAGAAGAATAATATGTCGTAAAGAATTTTTACTTCGCACATGCACAATTTTTGAAGTGAAAACGTTTTTAGGCGCGTTGAGCGATTTTGATAGGGGAAAATTATGGGTTCGTGTTAACGATGAGCCGGACATGATTGTGACGTAATGCGCGCAATTGCAATAAGTCAGGAACATGTCTACTATGCGTCGCTGTCGCTTTAGTACATATATACGCACATACCATTGATTTTTCACTTCTATCGGTAGTCCTTATGGCTGCCTCTGTTTTTTTTTAAATTTACCACTGATTCGAAAAATACCTCTGTCCTGTGAAGAACCAGCAAGAAACCTAGAATTTTTTTTATAGGATAAGGGTGACAAACGAGCACACAGTCCACCTGATGGTAAGTGGTTACTGTGGCCCATAGATATCTACATCTATCTTCGAATACGAATCAAAATGCAGATGCGTTGTCACCCGTGAGAATTAAGATGGAATGCCTCATTTCCAGTAAAAAGGATCTCCGGTTCTCTACACTCATAATACGAAACAGCAGCGTTAAGCTGCTATTTTACGCTGGTATTCTATGAAAGCGTGGTCATCCCCCGGTTGAGCCGACCTATTAGTGCTACAACCCTAATATAGTTGCAGCACGGCTCTACTACGTCAAAAACCCAGAAGGACTTTTTTTAAATATCACTATAATAATTTTGTAAAATTTTATATGAATTTTAATAGAACCAGCATGGTGGCGATCATCTTATCCTCAGGGGTTATTTTCATTCATGTGAGTGTGTGATAGTGTACTTGTGTGCACGCAGGCAGCGATAGTGTTCGGCATGGGGTTCGCGACGAACTCGCTGGGGCTGCCGGGGCTGCTGGGGCCGGGCACGCTGGCGTTGAGCGACGAGAACAACCACGTATCGCTGATCCTCGGGCTGCGACTGGCGCGCGCAGCTGTACGTGTGTTCCGCCACAATGATCTGGTACACCTCGAGCAACTTGCACGCGCCGCCATTGCCGAGCGCCGCTGGACCAAGATCGTCATTGTAAGTACTTTTCTAATCTGCCATCTGCCACGTACCCGAAGGACTTTCTACTACTTTTGGCACATTTCATATGCATATTAGAGTATTATCTGCCACAACTTGTGAATCGTGAGTACTTATGACCTTCCACCTACAACCCGTCGAATGCCCTACGTATGACTAATACCCTACCTGCATTTTAGAGTATTATCTCCCACAACTTGCGAACAATCGTAAGAACTTACAGCCCATCTCATGTCCTGACTGACTATTCCATAGCCCAGTAGGTTAGCGATAAGTTTTAGCGCTAAGGGCCGCGGGTTCAAATTTCGCACGTAACAAGTATTTGTATGGGCTACAAATAATTTTTCCTGGTTTGGATGTGTGACCCTACCCCCAAAATACACAAAAAATTCCTAGTATGGAGGTAACGTTTTTTTTAAACTAAACTAAATGCTTCCGGCACGAATCGTGAGAACTTGTGACCTTCCACCTACACTCCCTTGCATGCCCGATGAACTGACTAATGTTAAAGAATATTATCTGCTGCAACTTGCGAATATCACTAATATATTACTGTTAACAAAACATTTCCTAACGATCCGTCTAAAATACCCGATTAATGTTTTAAAGGTTTTTTAAAATGATATGTGATTAAAAATTGATTGTGTTTTCTACTGGCGTTCCTTACTTGGTCTTATGCTTAATTAATGAGCTATTCAGACGTTGGCCGCATCGAACAACTGTGTCTACCACTGCGTATAAAAATAGAAAGGTTATGAGATGAAAATGTGAAAGGTAAGTGTAAATGTTGACAGTGTGGAAAATATTAGTAGTTTGGATGAATTGTGTATAAATGATTTAGACTTGGAGACAGTGTAGGACAAAATATTAAGAAAGGTTTAGTGTATGCAGTAACTGAAGTGCGTGGTGTAAGTAAGAGAAGGAATGAAAGGAAAAGTAATACGATATTGTGGGATCGTAAGGTATGAATAGAAGTTGAAACAAAGAAGAGAGCATGGCTGGAAAAGTGTGTTTTTTATAGGATAGGGTGAAAACCGAGCACACAGTCTACCTAATAGTAAGTGAATGCTGTGACCCATAAAAATCTATATCTCTCCTCAATAAATAATCAAAATGCAGATGCTTTTTCACCCGTGAGGACTAAGCTGAAATGCCTCGTATCCAGTAAAAAGGGTCTCCAGTTCTCGACACTCACCACACGAAACACTTCTTTTTTTTATAAGAGAGGGAGCAAACGAGCATGCGGCTCACCTCATGGTAAGTGACTACCGCCGCCCATGAAGAGCTGCAACACCAGGGAGGGAATCGCAGATGCGTTGCCGGCCTTTTAAAAAGGAGTACGCTCTTTTTTTGAAGGTCCCTAAGTCGTATCGGTCCGGAAAAATCGCTGATGGTATTCGATGGTATTCGATTCCACAAGGAAGTCGTGAGAGGGAGAAAACATCTTCTAAATCGCACAGTGGTGGACCGCCAATCATCCAGATGGTGTGGATAGTATCGAGAGTTTTGCCGCAATGTGCATTCGTGAAATTTGGCGGCTGGGATTAATCCAAACAATTCCTCAGAGCAATCCCCATGGTAGATGCGAAAGAAAATGCAAAGGGATGCAACATCTCTTCGCAGTGCCAATGAATCGAGCCGATCGGAAAGGACTCGGTCGTCGACGATTCGAGCTGCTCTGCGCTGGATGCGGTCAAGTGGAAGGAGCTGGGGAGCCCCTGCCCAGAGATGGGAACAGTATTCCATGTGAAGACGAACCTACGCCTTGTAAAGTTGCAGGCGGTGTGCCGGCATGAAATACTGTCCCGCTCTGCTGAGCACGCCAAGCTTTTTAGAGGCCAAATTGGCCTTCTCTTCCAAGTGACCACGAAACTGCACGTCACTCGATATGTCGACTCCGATACACTTTATACTGTATTTTATCTTATTTTCTCGAAGAATAAATCGTATACTCGTAGATGTATATTTTTGTCTCTTTTATTTTCAAAAATATTGTTTTTTATTATAGGATAAGTGTGACAAACGAGCACACAGTCCACCTGATGGTAAGTGGTTGCTGCGGCCCATAGATATCTACATCTATCTTCTATTACAAATCAAAATGTAGATGCGTTGTTACCCGTGAGGAGTACGATGGAATGCCTCATTTCCAGTAAAAAGGGCCTCCGGCCACCTGCACTCACTAAGCAATTCGCAGAAGTAAACATCTACTTCACGCTGGTTTTCTGTGAGGTCGTGGTACCACCTCGGTTCGAGCTGGCCCATCCTTGCGACAGATGATTATACTTGATTTACTATGATTTAACAAAAGTAAACTGACTCGGCGCTGTAATTACAGAGAGGAAAACTGGTGTGACGTAGGTTTTAGAGGGTGTGTACAGCATGGAGGGCTCCATAGTGCCACTGCAGGGCGTGGTGGCACTAAAGAAGCGGCTGGGCCTGCAGCTGTACCTGGACGAGGCCCACTCGGTGGGCGCACTGGGAGCTCATGCGCGTGGTGTTACCGACCACTGTGGAGTCGACCCCAACGACGTCGACGTGCTCATGGGCACCTTCACCAAGAGCTTCGGCGCTGCCGGCGGTTACATTGCTGGTGCGTCGCTTATAATTCCTCTACTTCTCCAATATTGTTTTATAAAGACTAGTAATGATCCTATTAACCACTTTATGCAAGCTTAAAAATGCTCGTAATAAGAGTGTTTCACCACAGAACTCGAATGGTGAATTGTGTGTTATGGAATTTGCAGTCCAAACCATATCATTAGGCTATTGTCGCTTGCATGTTATTTTTTTTTATATGATAGGGTGAACAAACGAGCACACAGTCCACCTGATGGTAAGTGGTTCTGTGATCCATGGACATCTACATCTATCCTCAATAAAGACTCAAGATGCAGATGCGTTGTCACCCGTGAGGACTAAGATGGAATGCCTCTTTGCCAGTAAAAAGGGTCTCCGGTTCTCACACTCACCACACGAAACACAGCACCGTTAAGCTGCTATTTTACGCTGGTTTTCTGTGAGAGCGTGGTCCTTCCCTGGTCGAGCCGACCCATTCGTGCTACAACTATACTACTAATATAGCTGCAGTATGGCTCTACCACGTGCATACTCCTTAAGGAACGCATTTCTACAGCATTTATTCTACTCTCATGCTTCTTCTGCCAGATCCAACTTTCACTACCATACATTAAAGTAGGGACTAACACAGCATTATGAATTGCCATACGTGCCTTAGTTGACACATTCTGACTCCTCATAATAGCGTGTAGAGCCCCATTCACTCTATTTCCTGCGTTCACTCGTCGTTCTATATCCTTATCATATCTACCATCCCTGCTAAATAAACATCCCAAATATACAAACTCATCCACTTGCTCAATCAACTCCCCTTCTATTCTTATTTTACATAAAGTTTTACTTTCTTCTCTTTCAAAAACCATCACTTTCGTCTTACTTGCGTTCACTTTCATACCCCTTTCTTTCAATGACCAATTCATTAAAGTAACCATCATTTGCAACTCGGCCGCCGACGATGTAAATATGACTTGATCATCGGCGTACAAAAGGCATTTGACGGTTGACTCACCCATTCTCAACCCACATTCTTCAACTTTCAAAGTTTGCAAACAACTGTTCATAAATAAGTTAAACAGCCACGGGGAAGCCACACTTCCCTGTCTGACACCTTTATGAATGCCAAACCAGTCCGAGTAGACCCCGTTGATCCTGACACAAGCACTAGAGTCCCTATAAAGAGATCTTAATGCCTGTATCAAGCCAGTGCTCAACCCAAATGAGTTCAGTGTTTGCCATAACATATTCCTGTCCACTCTGTCATAAGCCTTTTCCAAGTCCATGAAAGCACAAAAAACTTTCTGGTTTTTGGCCAAAAACTTCTCCGCTATCATGCGCATGGAAAAGACTTGATCCGTACACCCCATCCCCTTTCTAAATCCAGCTTGCAGATCCCAAATGTTTCCATCAGTTTCTTCCATAACTCTTTCAATTAACACCTTAGCATACAGTTTACCCACAATGCTAAGCAAGCTGATACCAAGGTAGTTTTTACAGTCCTGCTGCGACCCCTTTCCCTTATATATTGGGACTATAACGGCTTTGCACCAGTCTTCCGGTATTCGTTTCAGTTCCCAACATAAATTTAAACAAGGTGTGCAGCAGGCCCGTAACCACACCCTCACCAGCCCTCAGCATTTCGAGTGATACTCTATCATATCCGGCTGCCTTACCTGCTTTCATGCTTTCCATTGCTTTCATTATTTCATCTACACTTATCTCCCTACCTCTCTCCACTTCTTCCGGAATTTCTATTTCACTTATTCCAGACGACTCTTCACTCTTAAACACGCTTTCAAAGTATTCCTTCCATCTCTTTAAATTCGAAACTTCATCATTCAGCATGCAGCCATTCTCGTCTCGTATAGCATTTATTCTAGGCTGTTTTGAATTTCCCCTGGCAGTTCTTACGAGCTTCCAGAACATTTTAATATTTGCCTGGAAGTTATCAGATATTCTTCTATCATTCTTATCTATCCTTTCTTGCTTTGTCATTTCAACAACTTCTTTTACTCTCTTATTTATACGTCTAAAGTCTGCCTTTTTTCTTTCAATCTCATCATTCATACCGCCAGAATTACCAGCTTTAGTTGCTAGTAAATCTAGCCATGCTCTCTTCTTTGCTTCAACTTCCATCCGTACCTCATCATCCCACCACAACGTATTACTTTTCCTTTCATTCGTTCTCTTACTTACACCGCATACTTCGGTGGCTGCATCAACCAAAATTTTCTTAATATTATTCCATACATTCTTCAATTTTAAATCATTCATACATAATTCATTCAACCCACTTATATTTTCCCTCAATCTGCATTTATACTTCTCTTTCACACCTTCATCTTGTAACCTCTCTATTCTTATACGCTGTAACGCAGTGGTAGACACCGATGTCCGATGCCGCCAACGTCTGAATAGACCATTAATTCGGCATAAGACCAAGTAATGATTTGTCCCTACGTTGGACCCCCGGTAAACCCTTGTATCTAGCACTGCGCTCCTCATTCTTTCATCCACAATTATAAAATCTATCATGCTTCTATCATCCCCTCTTTCCCATGTATACATGTGAATCCTCTTATGGCGAAAGAAAGTGTTCGCCACAAAAAGATTCTTTTCCACACTTACGGTGAGGAGGTCTTCACCATTCTCATTTATTCTTTCATCGCCACACGTTCCTAATATCCTTTCATAACCAGACCTCTTCACCCCAACCCTTCCATTAAAATCTCCTAACATAATAATATTTTCATTTTCCTTACATTTCATCAACACCAGCCTTACCATGTCCCAAAACTGCTCTCGGATATAAGTAGGCTTAGACATATCTGGGGCGTACACCCCTAGCACAAACAACTTCTTTAAGCCCACTTTCATTCGCATCCACAGCAGCCTTGGGCTAACACATTCATACTCTTTCACACATTGACCCATTCTTTCTGTAAGGATGACACCGACTCCTTGGCATGCCCGCTCGGTCTCGTCTACTCCAGACCAGTAAGCGGTATACATGCCATGCGCAGTGACATCTCTTCCCTTTCGTTTCGTCTCGTTTACACATAACACATCTATTCCTCTATCATTCATCATTTCGCATACTTCATCCATCTTATCATTCATTGCTACACATACATTCAGCGTGGCCAGACGGGCCTCCGCAATCCACTTTTCGCCCCCCCCCCCCCCCCGGGAGACAGGACGTGACGGGTGGCGAACCTCGTCGCCGGTTTTTCTCCCGGAGATTCTTAATCGAATACATAAAGGCAATATGTCAAAGAAATAAAAGGAAATACATAAAGGCATGGATAAAATCAACGAAGTAAAAAGAATTAACCGCAACTCCGTGAGACACACTTCAGATTGTAATTGTAGAGAAAAAAATTACGACTACCGTATTAACGTATTTTTTCCGTCCTTCAAAACTTACTTCTTGATAAGATTGGATGGGTCATTTCACTCTGATGTAATTTCATGTGATAATGAATCTCACCTGTTTGTGCTCGTTTGTCACCCTTATCTAGTAAAAAAAAATATTTAAAAAACTGCGTTATGTTAGAACGACTAATTTGATAAATCCAATTTATACATATTTAGCTCAATCACTTCTAGTATATTGCATTACTGTATAGAGAGGGGCGGCAAAAACTTACTTACTGAACATACAAAGGGGGCAACGACACCTTCTTAAAGTTATGTATTTTAAGCCTATTAGATTTAATACCGAACAACTGTATAATATACTCGCATGTGACGTTCTTACGGTTAGGCAACTATATTATATTAGAGACAATTTCATAAACACATACTAACTCGCCATATAATTAAAAAAAAACATCCATACGGGAGAATCATGAAGTCATTAAAAAAATATGTAAAATCTAAATTTGTTTAGAGATAGTCCAGTACTGATTCAAGGTATATTTACTATTATTTAATTAAAAAATTAAACTTTAACCGACTTATTTATCGCGAATGCAAAAATATACTTACCGCTCATCTTAAAAAAAAAAAAAAACTACCACAGCACAGAAAACATTCTACGTCACGTAATTAAACAGTACATCCATTTAATATATTTTTGTTTATTAAATAAAATAACATAAAAATAGTAGAAATGCTAACCCATTTAAGCATTTAGAATCACTCATACATACACCCACGCACCCACGCACGCACACGTACACACACGTAGACATACACACCAAGGTTAGATTTTAAAAGAGAATTAAAAAAAAACAATGAACTTGCGAGGCATTTAAAAGATAACAATTAAAGAAAATAAAAGCCAATGGACTAAGTAAGTAAATTAGAATATATCTTAGAGCCGCGGTAGCTCAGAAGAGCCGTGGTAGCTCAAAGGAGCCCTGGTAGCTCAGAAGAGCCGTGGTAGCTCAGATGGTTAGCGCTCGCTGTAAGTTTCACAGCACGCGAACAACCCGGGTTCGATCCCCGCCGGCACCAGTGAAATTGTTAATTGTAATTTTACGTGCTGATTTACCACATGCTCAGTGGTAAAGGAAAACATAGTGAGAAAACCCGCATGTCTGAGAAATAAGAAAAAATATATTTCTAAGACATGTGAAGTTCGCCAACACGCATTGAGGGAGCGAGGCGGACATTTCCTTGCCCTAAACCCTTTCAGAAACGAGAGAAGGCCTGTACCCGGCAGTGGGACGTATATAGGCTGTAACTTTAACTTTTTATTACTTATAGCCAAAATAAAGTTGTATTAAATATATCTTACATGAACTCTCAATACCTACCAATACAGTGATTACACAAATGTCGTAGGTTCAGCGAAGCTGATCAGGTGGATCCGCGCTCACGGACATGCGCACACGTACGCGCATGCAATGTCGCCACCAATGGCCGCGCAGGTGCTCGCCGCCATGCGCGCGCTGTGTACGCCGCACGGCCTGCTTCGCGTGCGCAAGCTACGCGACAACACGCACTACTTCCGCCGCAGGTACATGTGTGCGATAATACCGCTACAGGTATACGTGCGCGAAAATACGCACTACTTCCACAAAGCCACATTTATTTAATATTAAGAATTAATGGAGACATGCTATCATCTTTGAGGACTAAGGTAAAAAGCATTATTAGTAAAACAGAAATGCGGCGAAAGTGAATAATAAACTATGGTTACTGTATTGAAGAAGACTATAGGTTTATATAATATTATATATGCGGGAAGAATGAGGTATATGCGGTGATTATAATATAATCTTAATATTACAAATACAAAGGGACGGACGGTCTGTAAAGACGCCTAATGTAATATAAAAAAAAATGATAATTATGTATTTAAACTTACCTTGGTCTCGAAATTCCTCCTCTTGACGTAGCTGTAAAGCACTCCACTTAAACAGCTTCAATGTTGAGGTACCCATAGACATCTACATTTATCCTCAATAAATAATCAAAATGTAGATGCGTCGTTACCCGTGAAGACTAAGATGGAATGCCTATTTTTCCAGTAAAATGGGTCTCCAGATCTCTACACTCACCATACGAAACATAGCAGTGTCAAGCTGCCATTTTACGCTGGTATTCTGTGAGAGCGTGGTTCCCTGGTCGAGCCGACTCATTCGTGCTACAACTATACTACTAATATAGCTGCAGTGTGGCTCTACCACGTATATGCAAAAAAATTAAACATCTAACACTGAGGCATTGTTATGTGTATAGAACTTTTATTTCAATGGGAACTTTTCGCTTTTGGTGAAACTGTGTAACAAATAACTTCACCTTCTACTAGTCTCATCTAGAAAAATCTGGTTAGGGAGAAATCATTAGCCATCATTGTGTAATATGCGTAATAAAGTTGAGTGGCGGTGTAAGAATACCCACTATCTTATATCATCCCATAGGTGTCGTAAGAAGCGACAAAGGGAAACAAATCAAGAGAGAGGCAGCAGCATCTTCTTAATAACGACTAAAATAAAAAAAAACTGCGGTCGCCAACCCGCAAGAGTGGCAAGTATATCAATTACCCCTATGGTATGGGGGAGTAATATATTCAGCGGTGGACTTTAATGTGGGTGATTGTTAATGTTTGATATGTACGTTACAGGCTGCGCGAGATGGGCGTGGTGACATACGGGCACAGAGATTCGCCGGTGGTCCCGATGATGGTGTACGCGATGAGCAACGTATCAGCTACCGTGGAGCGGCTCACGGCGCGCGGGATTGCCGTTGTCGGCGTCGGTTTCCCTGCCACACCGCTCTTCAAGAGTCGCTTACGGTAACGCACTCACCATATGAGCCACGCTTATCATATGCACCACTCTCACCTCACGCACCACTCACTAGACACGCACCTCGCTCACTATGTACCATACAACTCGCATATTGATCACGACTAGAGGTGCCTGTCGCTTGATATCCGAATTAAAGTGTTGTACCCGTGCGCTATTATTTCATAATATTGTCTTGTATTAGTGCTATACATCTGTACTTTCTATTCTGTCTTTCTTTTTCTGTTCTATAAACATTGCTGTAATCTCTGTATTATCCTTCTGATGATGAATCGTGGATATATCTTGTGTAGGACATTAAACCATTAACTGTAAAACTTTATTTCTATTCCAACTAGGCTCACCACACGCACCAACCACTTGATCCTTATCACGCAGACCTTACTTAAGGCAATACAGCACGCGCAGTTGGCGAAACTATATAAATAAACCACTCTATGTATTAACAAGCTAGCATGCATTAGTCTGAAATTTTTCTATACCTATCATGTTGAATTGGCGGATTAACGCCGATTAAGTTTTTGGTTAGGTTATCCGCCACTTACAAGTCCTCACAGACCCACCTTTTATAATAGATTTATTTATAAATAATGTAACGAACCCCCCCCCCCCATCTTTTTTCTTTTTTACTATATATCCACTTATACTTGTATTTCTTTAGAATCTATATCTGTAAGATATATAAATATATCTAATTTACGTGATCAGTATATCTTGATCTTTCTAAAGGTTTAAATATAGGCCGTTTAATAAATTTATGGCGTGGTCGTCTTGGTTAGGACCCTTTTGTACGTTGTGTTTGTATAGTAACTTAGTTCTTTTAGGTGTATCTTGGAAGAATGAATATTCACGAGAGCAATCAAAAGCTGTTGGTAGAGTCTTATAAGCGAAAGAACCCCGTTCACGAAGACAGAGCTCAAAAAGGTTAAGAACAATAAATTGTCCCTATACCACTTGTATCTGGTTCACAACAGTCAATTCCTTATTAATTAATCCCTTCCCGCTTGGAAAAGGCTCACAATATTTATATCAAATACCAGCTACAAGGGCTTCGCTCTCCCACATTTTAAAAAAATGTGGAGGAGGTACACGGCTCCGCACACGCCGCGCACGGTGAGCGCCAACCATTATAATGCGCGTGCGAAGGGTACGCTAAGTTGGAACTGGACCGTAGTCCAGAGCAAAATAACTGGCGAACCAGTAAAAGAGGGCTTCGCCCCTTGCCAGTGCGTAAGCACAAACATCGACCGAAGTCGCGCATGTCAATGCGTGTAAACGCCATACAGAATACGATCAAATCCAGCCACAGTGAATATACGTCAAACGGGTTAGGCAACAATCGGCACACTGGCCATAAAAAGCCTTCCGTGAGCGCCACCACATGCCAGACCGCCGTTTCTGCAGACGTGATGTAAGTGTAAGGCATCACCACCAATTGCATGGTCAGCACGGCCAATTGGCCGCAGAGAGTGTCATGAGTCTACCACTCACCTCAAGGGAATGGGGTCCCACGTTGCGCGGCTTTCGGCCGCAGCCTTGAGAGCCTCCTCAGATTCTCCCTCCAGCTACCACCCGCATGAGGTCGACACATATGCTCCACCAACCAATACAATGGCAGATATAGCCAATAGGCAGTTATAAGATAATATTAATAATTCGCCATCAGAAAGGGTTGTGTCACTGACGTTCATCATTATCATCATTACAGCCTTTCACAAGTCCACTGCTGAACATAGGCCTCCCCCAAAGAATGCCACAAAGCACGGTCCTGAGCCACCTGCATTCATCGACTTTCTGCATGTCTTACCAGGTCGTCACTCCATCTCGTGGGGGGACGCCCTACACTTCGCCTACCGGCACGAGGCTGCCACTCGAGAACCTTTCTTCCCCATCGGTTGTCGGTTCTTCGAGCTATATGGCCGGCCCACTGCCACTTCAGCTTACTAATCGGTTGGGCTATGTCGGTCACTCTGGTTCTACTGCGGATATCCTCATTTCTGAGTTTATCACGCAGACAAACTCCGAGCATAGCCCTCTCCATAGCTCGCAGAGCGACCTTGAGCTTCCTCATCCGGCCAGCAGTAAAGGACCACGTCTCAGTTCCGTATGTCATCACTGGCAACATGCACTGGGTGTACAGTCTCGTTTTCAAGGTTTGAGGTGCCGTAATTTCCCGAACGCTGCCCAACCGAGTTGAATCCGTCGATTGACCTCTCGATCGAAGTTGGACTTACCTGGTCGGACTATTTGTCAACAACTTCGAGCTTAGTGTTCCCAACAACTACCGGCATAGGTGTGACATGGACATTAAACATGATCTTAGTTTTGTCCATGTTCATCTTAAGACCTATCCGTTGGAAAACACTATTGAGGTCATTGAGCATAGTGCTTAGGTCATCCAGCGATTCTGCCATAAGGACTATATCGTCGGGAAATCGAAGGTGAGTGATGTACTCGCCATTGATGTAAATACCGTATCCTTTCCAGTCCAGAAGCTTGAAAACGTCTTCCAATCCAGCGGTGAAGAGTTTCGGGGATATGACGTCACCCTGTCTTACACCTCTCTGCAATTGGATAGGTTTCGTACTCTGGTTCTGTACTCGGATAGCCATCGTAGCCCTACTGTACAAGCACTTCAACACTTCGATATACCGACAGTCAACTTGGCATCGCTGAAGGGACTGCAGCACCGCCCAAATTTCGACGGAATCAAAGGCTTTCTCATAGTCCACATACGCCAGACATAGTGGCAAATTGTACTCTTCGGACTTCTGTACAATTTGTCGAAGGGTATGTATGTGGTCTATGGTACTAAAGCTCTTTCGGAAACCGGCTTGTTCGGTAGGCTGGAAGTCGTCAAGTCTGCGCGCAAGACTATTCGTAATGACTCTCGAAAACAGCACGTAGACGCGGCTCAGAAAGGAAATCGGTCTGTAGTTCTTCAAGAGAGCGTTGTCACCTTTCTTGAAGAACAAGACCACCGCACTTCTGCTCCACGCCTCCGGTGTAATGCCACCATGGAGGACGGAATTAAAGAGCTTCTGAAGGACTTCAAGTACCGGTCTTCCACCCGCTTTCAGAAGCTCCGCTGTAATTCCATCCTCGCCTGGGGCCTTACCGTTTTTAAGGTGCTGGAGAGCCATTCTAATCTCGCTCAGACTGACGTCCGGGATATCTTCGGAATAGTGTCGGATGAGACTCGCTCTTGGATCGTTACTCACACTTGCGTGTGGCTCCAACGATGACGTGTACAACTGCCCATAGAACCTCTCAATCTCACTCAAAATCTCAGGTGTACCGGAAACGATGCTGCCACATTCTGTCTTCAGCTTTGACAGTTGGCTCTTTCTGGCAGACAGATCTCTGGCAAAGACTTTGGGAGCCTTGGTTCCGCTCGATCGCTTCTTCAATACGAGCTGTATTGAGGTTGCGTAAGTCCCGCCGCATGCATTTGGAGATTTGTCTGTTCAGATGCCTTTATGCTGTCAAGTCTGTTGAAGAATGTAGCTTCATCTCCCGTCTAACAGCCATGAGATTAAGAGTGTGATCGGAGAGTTTTTGTGTTCTTCTGCGGCGGGTCTTGCAGAACTTAGCTCCGACCGCATGGACAGTTTCCACGAGCTTGCCATTCATATCGTCTACTTCGTTGCAGTCTTCTAGGCACTGAAAACGGTTTTGTAACTCGAGCTGAAAGGTTTCGGGACTTTGGATTAGATCGAAAAATGCATATACTCACTGACGTTGAGTATATGCATTTTTCGATCATGTTTGTCTCACCCACCAACAAGTTGCCTTCAATCTTTCAAAGGTGGGAACTTTATAGAGATATATTATTAAGTTGTTATATAAAACATCATGGAGGACAGACAGTCTGCAGCCCCGCAATGAAGGGACTCGACTTGGGCAAAGCTACTTAGGTTGTGAGTCAAACCAAGACGCAGGGAGCGCCATTGAGAATAGCGACCCGCCAAACAACCATCGCAGAGACGCAATGCTGCAGAATGCAACAAGCATCAATACGACTATCGTCGGGCTTACACCATCCCAAGGTCCCCCATACAGTCCTAACAGACATCACCACCCGCATACCTCCATCGACCAGAACCACAAGATGTGTCGAATCAGGTGCAGCACACCCGCAGATCCATCACAAGACACAATACTGCAAGTAGCAGTAAGCATCAATGCAACTATCATACGGATGGCGCTCCTTCACAACACACCCACATGATCCCTATCGACTTTGGTAACAAAATTGATAATGTTGTTAACTAAAAATACCACGCCACTATAATAATCCTTTTCAAGTCCCATTTCTTTCGATATAATGCTTTTACATATTTGAGACCTTCCACATATTTGCTTTATTTCATAGACCATACTACTGTATGTCTTATTCATATGGGACTTCAAGTCATAACTCTGCTATCATAATGCTTATGCATCATAGTGACCTTCTATATTAATGCTTTGGTTCGTTAGACCTTACTATGATAAGTCCCTAATATAGGACTAGTCATTGTGCAACCTTAGTACTAGCAGTCGGTCAGCCGACCACCCCATATATATGTACAACCTTGGGTATGTGTCTCCGGCAACGCTTCAATATAAGGGAACATTACAAGAACACCTTCATCAACTTAGAAAATTTTGATCCATTTTTTCTATTATATTACAAATGTTATTTATCTTTGTTGTTGCAATATAATCGCCTTGATTATGATATGATATGATTTGATACATTTTGAACATTTTAAGCAGGTTTTTAATAATTTTAGAGATTTTTAGAGACATTTTATGCGTTTACTAATATATATAATATTCAATATTCCAAATGGATATTTTTGAACTTTATGCTTATTATTTGCATTTAATTGTTTAAATTATAATTTCTATGACAATTTTAAATGCCTGTATAATGAATTTAATTATTATTTATTAATAATAATTATGAGGCGTCACAATAACAAGCGATCCGCCCCGGCTT